ATAATCTCAATAGCTAAAGTTATCTTTGTGTTATTTTCATCTAAAAATTAATAATGTCATAGTTATTTAGATATAAATAAGTCAGTACTTCTTGCATGGACTCTAGCTTCTCTCTTGCACGTCGCTGTTCAGCAAACAGTTCTGTTTTGGCACCGTCCAGCTGTCTGTCCATCTCCTCCCTCTCCAGCACTGACATGACGACACTCGGCTGTTTGTGGAACAACAAAAACAGCATAGTATGAAGAAAAAACCTGACATATTAAAACATGTGAATGACAGATACATTGCTGGATTCAGGTCTCTTACCTCAAGGATACAGGACTCTCTCTGCCTCTGCAGCTGGTAACTATAACACATTCATTGTTGTATTATTATTTTACAGAATTATTCTTTATACAGCACAGCATTATGTTGATGCAATGTGATAATGTGATGTCACTACACAGCTTTGTGTAATGCAGCTAATAGGAGGTTGTTTTTTTTTACCTAATAGAGTCCTTCCCTGTCCTGCTGTCTCTCAGAACAAACTCTAGAGTCCTCTTCTCCTTCTGCATCTTTGCTGTCTCTACACTCAGTCGCTCTAATTCCTGCAAGGAATGCTGGGACATATAAATTAAACAGTGAGTATTAGTGAGAATTATGTACACAGGGGCCTAAAACTATTGTATAAAAGATGCTACACTTTACCTTTCTTCTATGTTGAAGTTCAGAGAGGGAGAGCTCAACGCCTTTTAACTGAGTTTTCTTCAACTGCAGCGTCTCCTCCTCTTTGCCACATTTCTATACCAGACACACAAACCAGTTACGTGATGTCTCACATGTAAACAGGAGAATTTAAAACATTTGTCAAATAAGATACTAAAATACACTTGAAGACTCATTATCACTTGTTGGAGTGTAGAGAGACGCTCTTTCGTCTTGGCCCAATCAGACTGCGTCTTCTCTGATGTCCTCTCAGGCCTGTTTCTCCTGGTCCAGTGATTCATTTCCTCATCTGTGTCCTTGTCATTGTCACCCAAAGAACACCTAAGTCTGGAATATATAAACATGCGTGTATAGTGTATAAATATGAAATATATGCAAAATAAGCATTTTAAAATGCTACAAAACACTGAAGAGACACTCATGTAAGTTTAGTACGTTTCTAAATGTTCTTCTATTTGGTTTACCTGTAAGTTTCTCTCTTATTACGCTGTGCTTTACGGACAGAAGGACTTCTGTTTTGTGCATTTACATAAGAGGATCTGTGGCCTTTGTAAACAAAGACAGGACAATTCAGTGACATTTATTGATTAAATCGTTCTTTTATTACTGTGGAAAACACAGTTAGATCTCATACTTTACCTGATGTAGATTGAGGTTCACTTTCGTCCTGTGTGGGTGTTTCATAGTCACTCTGGTTGGTACAGTAGTCATCCATGTCTGTGACAGACTGAATTAGGGAGCGCCATCCTGGGGGGGAGGTCACACAAATGATGTTAACTGTATTAGTCCAGTTACTATTTTCTACATTAAAACAGTTTGGTTCCAAGCATTTCTTGATTTTCATCATTCACTATCTCGTAACTTTTTTTTGTACTTTGTTAGTGGCTGTATTTAAATATGATCATTTTAAAACGTGTCCCTCCAAAGCTTCTGCAGTCTTTCACCTGGCCGCCTGTGAATATGCTGCCTGACTTGCTCTGTACAGACTGAGTCAAGGTCACTGTCAATGGACACGGTGTCAAAACTCCACACGGGTACTCCTATAAAAGAAACAAGCATCCTACAGTCACTGTTTGTAGTGTATGAATGTCAGATGCAGTGTAATCTGTACGTGCTACCTGCCAAGCGCCTGGCCTGGCCTGGAGAATAGGTGTTGTTCGGCCGTGGGGTTTCATGTTCTGTTACAACCTCTGTTCTGTGAGAGACTGAAAGACAAAAAAAAAGAGTACAGGACCAATAGTGTGCTTAAGAGCAATAATGTAAATTCTGCATGTTTGACAGTTGTTTGTCTCCCAAGAGTTTGTAAAGAGAGTACTCACTGCTGCTATCACCAAGCCTCTGCAGTGTGTTGTATTTCTCTCCAGCTCCCTCTTCCTTACTAACATGTGATGTATTTACTTCATTTATGTCAGAAAGACATTTCTTCAGTTCTTTTCTTTGGCATGGCTCATTTGATTGGGAATAATAAACCATCTCTGTGTCTTCACTGCGTTTCCCAGTCGTTGTTTCTCTTCCGTGGACATTAAAAACACTTTCTCCATTTTGTTCTCTCTGGTAAGTGTCACAGTCCGATATCTCTGTCCTCTCAGCCTCTTCTTCTTGATCTAGTTGCTGCAAATTACTCTCTGGCAATTCAACCATCTCGTCTCTGAAGCATCTGACGAAGTCCTCAGTGCAGATGCTGTCTGAAGGAGGGTGGGTTTCTCCTGCCATCCTTCCCTCGTTACAGCTGTCTCCGAGCAGCTTCTCGAGTCTCCAGATGACCTGCTCCCTCTGAGACTCCATCTCCTCCCTGTCTCTTGTCCTTCTGTCTAACTTCGGTTTAGTTTCCTCATGAGTGACAGGACCTTCCCGACAGCTTGTGTTTCTCTCTGGGGGACGAGGAGAGAAGAGATGGGAGAAGCTTTTGTGGAAAGAATAAGTAAAAACTTTCATACAAACAAATGTTACCCAATTACGACGCCTGCCTTGCTGTAATATTATGCATGCACACATCTTAGTCATCCTTGCAAACTCAAGCACACAAATAATATAGACACAAAAACCTGGTGACAAGCAGTACTTACTTTTTCTGTCCCTGCAAGTTATTTCCCTAACAGCAGCCTATATACATTTTGAGATGTGGCTTATATACAGTTAGAAACACAACTTTTTCCTGTAATAATACTGATATTGAAATATTACCTGATGTTTCCTTCATCGTCGGAGTGTCCAGCAAATCAAGACAAGACATGGGAGTGTCATTTGTTTGGGTTGTACTTCCAAGGCCTGTGTCTTTGCTCAGAGATTGACTCCGCCTAAGAGGAGCTAGAAAAAAAACAAAACACAGATTATCACCTGAAACCCCCCAAAAAACATGTGGTATAAAGTGTGTTATGACATAAATTACCTGCATCGCTGCAATCAAGCTCTCTGGGAATGGCCTGACGTTTCTGGGGCCAGACCTGCATACATTAATCACACTGAATTATTTTATATTCCCAATCATACTTCTATACAGACAGACAGAAATGAAAATCACACACCTGCAGCTGACCAAGCTGAGCATCCATAGCGTCTAGGATGAAGTCACAGTGGTCCAGTCTGAGAGGCGGAGAACCCAGTCCAAACACACCGCTGTTGTCATCGAGATCTATGATTGAAGCAGAACGTGTCAACAACAGTGGGTGCAAACTCCCCAGAGAATGAGATACACTGCTTATAAAACCTCAAACCAGTGTAAAGAAGCTCATCTGTGTCCTCTGCATCTCCCTCCGCTCCATCATGGCCTCTGTCGGCCATGTACGTGCCTATTGAGAAACATGCAGACATTCACACCCAGTAGACCCAGTATCTACCAGTGGTTAAAGCTGACTGAGCAGTGGTGAGGAGTGGGGGGTTTATGTTGCTCAGTTGTCCAGGTAACCAGGACAATTTAGCTTGTTAGCAAGCCAAACTGACCTCTTTTCACTAAGAGGGCTATAAATTCCTGTGCTTTCCTCTCTCCCACCCCCCAAAATGAACATAAACTAAGTCAGTCCATTTTAACACTGTAATGCACTGTTTTGCCTCTCAAATGTCAAAAAGCCATGACTGAAATTCCTAAGTGCAGTTTTCTTATGTCAGCCCTACTCAGACTACTCATTTTCACATTATTACTTTAGCATTATTGGCTTTTAGACTTTAAAACCGCGCAGACAGCAAATCACTAACCTGAATCACAGAAAACTAATCTGTCTAAAAACACCCCATACGTGTAGCTACATTATATGAAGACAAACAAATATCACATTTGAAATTACTAAATCGTTCAACCGCCATTGCACTGCCTCAATTACAACCATAACTTACTCACTTTCAGGGGCACAAACGCGGAGACTTTAAATCTTTGCTGCACTTGTCTCGCCGGCTGCTGCACTGACTCTTTGACTGACAGGAGCGTCAGTTGGTTGCCGCGGAAACGGTCAAACAGCTCACAATATTAGCGCCATAAGGAAACACAGAAGGAGAGTTGGCAGGGCTCTCATAAACATAAAGCAATATATTTTTAAGTCAGAGGTGACTGAAATATGTGAAATCATAGTTTATTTATTTATTAAAATGAGATCAATATTCTTAGGATAGACTGAATGCAAACGAAGCAGGTTATGCACACCACACTCCCAACACTGCAGGTCGCCTTTACGTTGCACTTGTGTAATGAAATTATATAGAATATTTACATGTAATTGAAATACTTAAAGTCCAGTTTTTTTGGGATACATATTTTTTTCCTAACATGAAGGTCTAAAAGAGGTTTCAAACTGTTTGAAGGGGAAATCATTCAACTTTTATTTATTTTGTGTTGGTCTATAGGTAGTAACATTAAATATATGGAGTCTTAAATTTAATCAGCTGGTAAAAAATACCCATGTGGCCGTGATAATTTGTATAGTACTTTATAGCAAACAACAATCATTATATTTACTATTTGAATTCAGTTTGTCAGCCTTGGAGCAGAAGTTGAGGCCCAAACTGTTATTTGTTGTTGTTTTTTATGACTGGTCTTGTATTAACTAACTAAATGTGTACATAGGTACAATGCAGTAGTCCTACACTAGCACAAAGACCTCTAGTGAGAATTTTATATTTGCAGGACTTGTAAAAGGACTTAAAAATTGTGCCTTTGGATCACGACTCCAAACATCATCATGATTATTATTAATTAAAGTGAGAGACATTTTTTGTACTAAAACTGGCATGCAATCTCAAATATGTAATTCAAACCAATCCCATCTTCCAGCTGTTGCGGAGAGAGAAAATAAAGCAGACAGATATCCACTGTCAACAATAACAACTTTATTATCTTCTTTTTTCATTATTGTGTCTTTGTTGTTTAAAGACAATGTTATACAAGTATAAATTAAGGGAGAAAATACACAATTTAAAAAAAAAAACAGAAGCAAAACCTCAGTTGAATCCGCAGTTACACCTGAATACACCTGCGCGTATTTGGGGAGTAAGAGTAGTCAAGGCAGGTCAATCACCTTTGACCTCCTGTACCAGGCCGCTGTTGTGATTTGTCTCATAACTTTCATCATCATACAGATTATTAACATCACCACCATCTCACGACAGAGCCGCGAGGCACAGTCCAAAGAGAAGCGGGGTTCAGTTTAGACAAGGCAAGACAACTCCCCAGCTTCATTAGTTCTGCCTCAAAACTGAGCAGCATCAAATGAGATGGAAATGTGTGCCGCACACGCACACAAATCAAGCTCATCACGCATACAAACAGTATGAAAACACCAACGTAAGAATAATGGCACCCGTGAGAAGGTAGAAATCAGAACAGTAAATAAAAGCATAAAAATTAAAAGATTAAAATCACACCGTAGTGAATTAAGAGTTGGTTGAGCTGAAATGAGAGAAATGAGGAAAGGGGGGTTACATTAGAACCCTCTGAGACTGGGAAGGCAGATGAAGAGGGTTTTTTTTTTTACTCTACAGTACACTCTCCACATACACTTTGGTTGGTTGTTTTTTTCCCTTTCTGCATGAGGCCGACAGCTGTTCTGTTTGAAGCAACAACAGCCATGAAGTGACAAATCTACACCTCGCTGCGTTATTGCTACAGCTGTCCGATATACTGTACAGGCCCTCACTGAGGCAACTTCAGTAGGCGAGTACTGAGGTCACGTTATTTGGAAATACATTGATTAAAACGTATGATGAGCTCTCCACTATCATTCAAAATATAACATGTACTCTCAAATATAAAATCATCTCAAAAACAGTATATTAAAGTAAATCTCTAGTAACCTCAAATTGATCACTGAGAAAGGAAATCACAGACTAAACGTTCTTCACCACCATTCAGCGGTGATCTGTGTTCGTTCAGGTGTCACGACTGTGCATGACCATACAGGATTAAACAGTGTCCATCCTTATATGTGACACCCTTGATATGATTTTAAGTGGACACGACCTCTTCTACCAATAGTTTGTATCTATGTGGAGTGGAAAGACAAGAGGAGAACCAGAGCAGTAGTAAATCAGAGGAATAGTTATAGACATTTTGGGAAACACACTTTGAAAAATTGATACCACGCTCCTGTTTGTTTGTTCAACATTAGGTTAAAGCCAGCAGCCGGTTAGCTTAGCTTAGTTTAAATACTGGATACAAAGGGAAACAGCTAGACTGGTTCTGTCTGAAGGTAGAAAATTCCACCTACCAGCATCTCTAAAGCTCACTAATAAACATGCTCTTGTTCGTGTAATTTGTAAAAACCCAGTAATAATTATGACTTTAGAGGTGCTGGTTGGCAGTTTTTGTTACAGCGCCAGGGCTATCAGTTTCTCCCTGTTTCCAGTCTTGATACAAAGCTAAGCTACCCAGCTGCTGGCTCCAGCTTCATATTTACTGTAAACACATTAGAGAGGTATCAGCCTTCTGAGCTAGAAAAAGCATACATGCATTTCCAAAAATCTCTTTAAGCATGTCATCCTGCACAAGAGATTTAGTGATTAATCAAACTGTGCTCGTGACAACCACAAATCAAAAATGCATTAAAAGATTTTATGTAAAAAGAGCAGAAGCATATTTGTGCAAAACAAAAAGAAGCATCAATCATCATTAACTTCACGATCAAATTATTAATTCACTGGCGAACAATCTCACAGATAAACATTTTACCAGCTCATATTATCACACTGAAAATCTCCCTATGTGATTATTCTATGTGAGTTTATTTATTTTCCAGTGCACTTGATAGATCTTTATGGCCTGCACAGCAGAGGAACTGTTAGATGTGTTGAACAATGAAATCATCACTGAATCACGGTTGCTAATGTGCTAGTATCAAGGACTCTATAAAAAAATATTTTCAGTGTGTTAAGACAGTTTTTGGAAATATAAAACAAGAAATCTGCAGCCAAATTGAGGGTGCCTCAGAGTTAACATCCATCTTTGCAGAATCAATCTGGATTAAAAGTTAAAATTACAGCAAATCCTTCAGGCTCATTCAGTCTTTTTTTTTTCAGATTTGAACTATGCTGTACAGATAACTTAATACTCAGATTAGTATAATTATTCTTCATTTTACAATATCATTCATTTATCACAAAATATTCACACAAATAGACCAGACGGTAGATACAATACCTCCAGCCTTGAATTCTACATTCCTAACAATAATTACAAAAAAATACTAACTGGTTTTCAAAACTCTTGTCACCGGAGACGTGTAGTGCACAGGTCGGGGACTCTCCCTTGTTCAGTCAATTAAAGGCAAAAGACTGAGGGTACCTTTGTGAGCTGATCCCAGATCAGCATGCCCACAAACACTGAATGAAAGGACTACACATACGTGGGCTGTGTTGAGCCAGGAGCGGCAGCTGCGGGAGTCCCTGTGGCTGGAGCTGACTGCACAGTGGTGAGCCACAGGAACCAGCCCTGTCTGCTGCTATAACCTCTGACCTCCTGTCAGCTGAAGCCACTCTGGACCGCTCAGAGAAACTGCTCTAGTCTCACGTACAGTAGTTCTACTGGAAACGTGAGTAAAGGAGGATGTGGAGCTAGTGCAATGCACATTATAGAAACCTACATGTTCCTGGATGTACTGTACTTGGTGGTAATTAATTACTGAATGTCTCAGTGTTTTGGTGCAGACTTAATACTATGTATGATTACTGAGAATGATGTCACTGGAAATGGTCACCAAGGATACGGTATGTGTTGCTATGGGAGAGCACCAGAGGACAAGGTAAAAAGTACAGAGTGAAATTTTCTCAACATCAACACAGAGATATGTACTAACCTATGGTCAACCACAGTGAAAAGTGCTTGTTCAGTTCTTTAATGGAGGTTCCTATTAGAGTGACATGGATGTTCAGTGTTGTACTGTAGCACTAATGTGTCACAACTAAAGGACTGACTACTGCAGAATTTTACTAATCAGAATCACAAATGGAAGATGTCTCAAGCATGTTTAGATGACTAAAACGCATTGAAGCTTAGAGGCAATTTATATTCAAAAAATTAAATGTCTCAAGCTGTCATATTATCTCTACATGGACTATAGTCTAATTGACTACTTAAAAGACTGCCATTTCATATATCTAGAGGGAAACTCCCAACATTCACAACAAGTAAAATATATTTCTGCACTGCTGTCATCAGTTCAGATAAATCAGCCTCTACTGTATAAGAAAGAGATGTTAAGCTGTTGTTTATGGAGAGCCAAAGTGTTGAAAATTAAATAAGTAAATGAGATATTATACAGGAAAGAGTTATAATAATAAATGCAGACAAAATATGAAACAGAACTATAAAATTGTAAAGTAATCCAATACATTTAAAAAAAGATATTTTATGTTATTTCAACATGCTAATTTCTGATAATTTATTTCCAGATCAGTTTTACTTCTTTCAGTTCTTATTTTAAAAATATCCCTTTTCCAAAGTGTGTATTTATTTCACAATGTCATTTTTTCCAGTGACCGTTTTACTTCATACGCCACTCATAGCTGACTCTTCCCTGTTTGTCTCAGGACTTACATCCCAAATAGCATTATGAAATGAAATAATTATAGTTGATTTATAGAAACTGCAGGATTAAAATAAAACTGAGTGAAACTAAAACGGAACAAGCAGCATGAAACAAGGTCTTAAACAAGGTCATGTTACTTATTTTGCCTGTAGTTATTTATACAAATGTGTTTTTCAGAATGTCTTATTTATACAATTAATTTTGAACACTTTGTTTTCTGCATAATTAATAATAAAATCTAATAGACACCAGACACCATTTTCAGGCTTTAGCCTCTTTAATAAAAAAGGGGCAAATAATGAGCACTTGAAAATATTCCCATGAAGAAACAGAGGGAACTGATTTAAGATTAATAAAGTAGGCCTAGCATCATTTAAGTTGTGCTGAATAAAACAGAGGATGAGGACACTTCTTGTAACCTTCAGCACTGTTCTGTTTCTATGTGCCTGTTAGTTGTCAGTCTATAAGCATGAGCTGCTTTGATGTGGGTGTCTGTCTAATTGGTAAAACTCTCAAATGGGGTGAACACAGAAAAGTGCATTGTGAGTAGGATTTAGAGCACCTGATTTCAGAAGTGTGCAGGTGCCTTTATTTTCTCCAACACCACCTCATATCCCCACATTATATCACTCCTGTTTCAGTATAGTGTCAAAGAGGACTACTCAGGGAACGCCCCTTCTTTTTCCCCCCATAGTAAAAACAGAATGAGAGTGCACATTTGGAGGTACAGTGTAATCCGAGAGCGTGTGAAACATACACATTCTCATGCTCACAAAAGGTCCACATGGTGCTCATAAGCCAGCTACGCCCCATTGTTTAAGGACCAGAGGCAGAGCAGTTCCCTGTCCGATGAGGTTAGGAGTGATCCGGGTTGAGTTCCTGGGTTAGAAGATGTCAGGACACATGCTCCAGTCCTGCCTCTCCTTCGCCTCCCAGTAACCTCCCTTGTACACAAAGTTTGTCTCTCCAGTGACTGAGTCCCTCCTTTGTTGAAACCACAACGGCTGGTAGCCTTCGTATTCTCTGCCTGCGGGAGAAAGCACAGGTGTTACTCAATCAGCGTCTTTAAAGCACACTCTAGTGGAGAAGCCACACTTGCAGGCAATTTACTGAGCGATCAATTTGCCTTCATACATATGCATATATATTGGAAGCAATCAATCGCTGTGCACTGCGTTTGGGAAAGCTCCAAATGTGAACCGAGTTTGTGTAACGGTAAACAAGTTGAACTCAAAAGTGTCAATAAAATACAGATTAGCACGATATGTGCGGTGCAAAAACCTGGATCGATCATGGTGAAGAAGAAGATTACAATGACAGTTTTGGAACTCCCTGAAGTGAATAATTGATCTGTTTCTTAAAACAGAAACCCAGTCAAAAGAGGGAGAAACTGCAGTTTTCTGATGAGTGAACATTTTTAGAAATGTAATGGTCTAAAATGTTGTTTTTCCATTTGTAAAACACAATGAGGATTTAATTTAGATGAACAAAGCATAAAGTAACTTGTTTACTGTTGAGTCAAAGTGCCAGAAAAGTGCCCACAAGCAATAAAATAGACAGGATGACAATGCAGTGCAAATTAATCACTTGCTAATGTGGCTTCACCATAGCACGCTTGAAGGTTTTATAGTTGTGTCTGTTATTTCATGTAATATATTACTGAGGCCAGTTCTACATGAAAATGTCACATGTATGCAGGAAAAAGTCTTATTTTTTCCTGAGTCATTATCTGGAGAAGTTGACAGGAGAGGGGTATCATGCAGTTCCCACACAGAGGCAGACCACACAGAGGACACACAGAGGATGGGGTGTGTGTGTGCGTGCGTGCGTGTTCTGTGTGTGTGTGTGCGTGCATGCGTGCGTGTTCTGTGTGTATGTGTGCGTGCGTGCGTGTGTGCGTGTTCTGTGTGTGTGTGTGTGTGTGTGTGTGTGGGAGTGATGCACAACAGAGGGGCACAGGGCAACCCCCACTCACCAGAGTCATAATCACACTCTGACCACCAATAGAGGAAGGAAAAGAAAGACAAGTCATGGGTACATCGAATACAGTCTAGCCTACGCACAACACACACACACAGGAATGCCACCAGGATGAAAAGCTTCTGCTGAGTTGTCCGTAAAGTTCAGTCTGGCTTCTATTACACATAACTCCTATTAGCTTGTTTGTGTTAAGCCCTGACCTGCAGTTACTGCTGTACTCACTAGAATAAGTAGCACTTCTTGAATCCTAAGAGCATAATTATTTTTATAACAGCTACTGCTTATTAATCTTAAATCTTTGCTTTGAGGTTTGTCTCAGCTGTGTGTCCCAGTAATAACTATCTTGACAAGCAGCTGTAAACTGCCTCTAATGTTAAATATAGCATACTGTAAAATTATATAAATATGTGAAACTTTATTGCTTTACTCTGAAGGGTGGAGGACCAGCTGGCTCTGGAAGTATTTTTATCCACTATAAATTCTAATGTCTTGTAACGTGTTTCTTTTTATGATATTGTCAATGTTCTTTAACACAGAAACACAGTCTTTTAGATAGTTTATCAATACAATAATTTGTATTATTGCCATCAGTTTTAATCATTTCATTTTTATTTAGTGAAAAATCATGTACTTTAGTTTGGTATAGAAGATAGCTCTAAATATTACAATACCCATGAGCCTTAGCTGCCATTGCTACATACAAGAAGCTAGCTAGAGTTGCAAATCAAAGTTGCTGCAAATCAAAAATGCTTTGTTCTCGCAACAAAACAATGCGGCATAGTTTCAAAATTCATCATGAAATGACCCAGAATCTGAAAGTGAGCATAGTATTTAGCGTCCACCTTTTCATTGGATGTTATTTATGTCTTTTATGTTTTGCCTTTTAATAGAAAAACAAGCTATTTTTATATTCAGTTTATCCTTTGTATCCTTTGATGCTCCAGCTGTCATTTAACATTGTCAGAGGAGAAAATGAGACGGGAATTTTACTCCACTTTACAACCCAATGCCCTTCCCCTCCCTTCATTCTTTCCTTCTGCCTGTCTCTGTCTTTTAACTCAGCACCTCTTTGGCTGTCAGACACCACACGTCCAGTTCCACATTTCATACCGTCATCCAGAGCGTCTGAGGCCTCCGCTTCCCTCCTCCTCCTCACGGCTCTTTGTTTCTCCTCTAGCCTCTGTTTTTCTGAGTTTGCCTCATCCCATCGTCCTTCCTCCATCAGCCTCTGGTCTGGTCTCAGCCGGCTGTCGGTCAGTCCCACTCCATCCTCCTGCTCATTCAGGGTCAGTGCCAGCGCTGAGAAGTAGTACATGTTCTCAGCGTTCTCCCTGATAGAGTAAAAGGGAATTGACGAGAGTTACGCAGTTTTATGTTCTACAATCAATCATATTGACTGAACATTTCAGCTGTTATACAACTACTATGACTCATGTACTGCAATGTTCTGCCTTATGGGGTTTGTGATAAAAGCCCTTACGGGAGAGGATATTTCTTCCACAGCAGTTTGGGGGACAACGTCTGATAGACCGTCTTCTGCTTGCCCTCTGATCCACTCCCACCTCGGGAGCTCTGAATGATCTTGGCACTCTCTATTTTATCATCCCATGTGCCAGAGAGGATGTAATGAGCCTGACCCCCACTGTCTGCCACCACACCTGTCACCTAGAAAGGAAAAGAAACCAGAAAATAGTCCATAAGTACAATAGGGAATGTAGAAACCAAAGCAAGCTATCCTTCTGTAGATGTATCACCATGTCCTTTCCTCTGAATGTAATGCATTTATAAGCACAGTCTCCTAGGTAGGACACTGGTAAATTTCCATTAGCTTATCCCAAATCAGTCACTACCAAGAAAGTCAGCCATGTGCCCCATTTTTAGTTAATTGGTACGACTCCAAAGGAGGTTACCTCTCTGCTGTGTGACCTCAAACAGTGAGCTTCTTCTATATTACACTACTCTAAGTACCAATTTATTTGTTGGTACTGTCCAGCAGGAGGCAGCATCACACAAGTCAACCACTCATCGTATGACAACATGCCATTGTTGAGTATCAGTGTGGAAAGAAGGTATTTACCTTTCGTGGAACGTCCCTGGAGAAATAACTGTAGGGAGAGAACTTGAGTTGGCAGGTCTCCTTGGTCCTGTGATTCACAATCTCAATGTCCCCCGACTGCACAAATAGAGACACAAACATACAAAGAGTGAAACACACAATTACAGTGTATTAAAGCTATTAATTCACAGTGTGTTTACAGTGGATGACAGGTCACAAAACTGAAACTTTAATGGTTAGCTGGGGTTGATCAATAGTGAGTCCCAATGTCTTCTGTTTCTGTTTCTTCCAAAAACATAGTGTCTTAATCATTTTTATTATAAACAATATAGTCCTACATGAACACACCATCTGCTCCAGTTGGACCATACAGTTCATTTTACATGAGAAATGTTCTTTATTGTGTTTTCTTTGTAGGTGGCATCACATATTTCAATGGGCCAATTAGAATTTAACTGTGAGAACTAGGACAGTCATTGGATTGCTTGTTAACCGGGAGACACCGTAATTAATGAAATTAATCAAATGTGATCACCACACCCACACAGTGCTGACAAATCACATTAGCTAAGATGATGAACTAATGATGTTTTTTTGGTCACAAATATTCAATATTCTAGAGAAATGCTGTTTTTGTTCCAGCTGCTTTAAAGGTACTATGTGGTGTTTACAACTACTGGCACTGTAGAGCAATATTTTGATGAGTAGGTCGCCATATTGTTTGTACTGTGTGTGTTCTACCAGCATGTGAACAAGGCCACACGGACATGGGGGGTGGCATGATAAATATTTCTGGCCACTGCTGAGGATCATACCTTTCAAGTCTCATACTTAACCTGTGACACACACTTTTGTCTTTGGCTCAAGGATTGTAACACTGTCAAACAAAATAAGAAGTGTTGGCTCTAATCCTAATACGCCCATGTTGATGCAGTGTAGATCGCCTTCTCTGGCTTCATTTGCTGTGCGCCTGACAACACTGTTTGCCACTGCACTGGCTGACAGCATAGAAGACAGCAGCAGAATAGTTCTCATAGTTTGGTGTGAAGTTGTTTGGCTGACCCTGTTCTGCACCAGAGGGCAGCAGATTGGCAGAGCGACGCATGAAGGCAGAAGGCAAAAGTATTGAATGGAGAAAGCAAAACAATTAAGAGTAAAAATATCTAAATATTAGTGAGACTTTTTCTTAGTTGACAAACAAAGTTTGAGAGAGGAATTTGTATCGACGCGGAGGATGTATTGTTTTTGCAAGACTAGTATCTCTAATGTACATGCCGATAGCAAAATTAACCATGACAGCTATATTTTTATTGTATGTTGTCGCTAGTTAGGCTACACTACAACAAATCCTAAGTTTTCAACTAAAAACAGGGTTTGCATAACAAAACCACAATCAAATGTGATGACAAAATGTAATCAACAGAGGTTTCAAAACATTCAAAAGTGGCTTTGCAATTATTATTTGTTTTGATGCAAAATGCTGACATACATCAGTGTGAACACTCTCAAAGAAACACATAAATATACAGGAAACACTGGATATTTGTAAACTATTCTACATTACCAACTCCTTTTCCTCCTGTTTTGGCTTAATAATTCAGAGCCGGTACTCTTATAGTATTCTATGGATGAAGATGTCTACACATATGTGTGTTGAATCTGCCATATTCATACATGCAAACACAAACACACAGACAGAGATATTTATATGACACACAGCTCAAGCAGAAACAGAAAAAAAATTCTACATTTTTTTTTTAAAAACAGACACAATTCTGCACAGAAAGACAGGCATGCAGATGTGAAACCTGGTCCCCCCCCCAAATATAACTGGGCCATCTCTCACAAAGAAGACGCTGTTATTTTAGGATGTTATTAGAGATCAAAGCTAAAGATAAATCCCTAGAGATTGTGAAGCTCCTTATTCATGTACTGTAAGGCTTCGCTCTGATTCCCTTCTTCACCGCGCTCTTCTCTGCTGGTCTCTACCACACACTACTGCAACACGGGAGGGAAAAAACATTTATAGGCTACTCTGGAAGATCGGGGGTTTTCAGGCAGGGATGTGGGTTTGGAACTGTGGATGAATGAATGATACCAATAAGAAGTGCTTGCAAACAGACCTGATCAATCCACAATTTGCCCACAATGATGTTGTGCACTGTGGAGGTGACCTTTCTCCACACATAGTGGTTCCCGCTGGATTGAAACTGCAGATGAATGGCACCTGGGGAGGGGACACGAACAAAAGGCTATAAGAGAAAAGAAATATCACAGCTGTTTTGTTACTATTCAGCAATTTCAGACCTGAAAGTGATGTGTTAAATTGTGTATTTGCTTTTGTGAATCGAAATCTGTTTGTGAACACCGTCAATTCTACCAGTGGCAGCTTAAAAACATGTCCTCTAACACATTTATGGCCTGTGCACAGGCGATACATTTTCACCTACTTCCAGTGTGACCTAAACCTTGAAGATTGATAACATGTATTTGACTGTAAATGCTTTCCACTTCAGAGTTTTTTCTATTACATGGCATCTCACAGCAGGCAGGAAGTGAGAAAAGTCAGATAAATACCATAGCATCCCTTGGCTGGACCTGCATCTATCAAATCTCTCATTTATCTGAGCCAACAGACCCCTGCGCTCTGCCGTCCCAATGCAATAGAGAGCTCCCTTTATACCCATACTTTATGTACGTGTCAAAAGGGTCATAAAACCCTCTTGATTCATTCTCACACCCTTTTCTCTGGCTTTATATTGTGTAGAAGGCAGCACAGTCGTCTTCTACTCTCAAGAGGGAGTCTTTCTTAACTAAACTCTGTGTAAAATAATTTGCATGATGGGACCTTTATTTACACATATAGTTTGTTTGCTTCCCAACTGAATATGAAATGTCTCACCCAGAGGCATTATGGAGAGGTATTTGCCACGGAACTTGCTGGCGATGGTGATTTCCTGCCACAGGGTCCAGCCTCGTTGGGAAATCACATGATGTGCAGCTGCAGGAGGGTGATGGCTCACCTTTAGAGGAAGATATACATAAAAGTAAAGCAAAATATAGAAAATGTGTTCATATAAGCAGAAAACGTTTATCAACTTGTTGTTGGAGAACACAGGCTGACCTCGTGTACTTATTTTTACACACAGTTTGTGGGTCGTGTGTGCACGCACATCAGTGGGTAAACAAAAACTCCCTTAAGCTGTGCTGTTACCTGCTCACACAGCGAGCGGTAACCAAAGTCCTCCAGGCGATCGAGCTCGTAGGTCTCGCCCAGGAGGGGGTTGAAGGGCTTGGCTGTCCGGTGTACCGTGGTGGAGTAGGACGAGACGGAGAAGGCAGCGACCAGGCACATCTGCTCCAGGGAGGAGTCGCAGCGCGCCGCCTTGTCCAGGAGCTCATGGTACTCCAGGTCTTCAGTGAGTCGCTGCAGCATTGACAGAGGCTCGTTGAAGTTTACCTGAATGGGAGGATCAAGAAGGCGTGAAACACACACAGGTTGGCACAGATTCACTTGAGAGAGGTCATGCTTTATGCACTTACAGGCATGGGAATTTTGGAGAGCTCCTTGCCAATACAGTTCTTCATTATGCTCCACAAATTGAGGGAGTAGTTGGGCTTGTCTGGGACATGAGTCCGCCTCTGTCTGCGGGGCTGCAGCTCCTTCCCTGACACATCATTATAGCTTGGAGACATCTGGGATTAGGTGGAGGAGAAGGAGTGGATGAAAAGAATATTAGATATATACAAGTTTGAGAAACACTTTCAACTTCATGGACAGCTTGGCAGCATATCACCAAGTGGAGACAGAATGACAGAGCAAGGTAGAGTCACAGATGTGTGTTAGAGAGAAGAAGAAACCAGGCAGAGTTGAAGGGAGAGAAGAGCAGATGTTTGACTGGTAATTAAGATTTAGTGGAATGAAGCAGCTGTGTATCTTGTGACACCACAGGGGTGACAACAAGACTGTAGGATACACAGACTAAGACTGCGTGTGTGTATGTTTATGTGAGGACAGGATGAATGTCAGATAGGAAAAGGAGGACTGTGAGAACAGCAAGTGAAGACGGGTTATATAAATAAATCAATGAGCTGTGAGCTTTCCAGCAGCACAAATGAATCTATTTCGAGATTACAAAAGTCAGCAGTGTTCACAAATGTCAGTCCTATTAGTCAGACTTGTTAGGAGGACAGACACTTACATGGTCGTCCTGGTTCCAGTCACTGGGCTGACCTCCGCTCGCTCCACTCAAATTACTCTGAGATCGCCTGGAACACAATAAAAATATTTTCTACAATGAGCACTGGACATATAAACAGACTCAATGTCCTTGCTCTCTCATGTTCAACACAAACACACACACACACACACACACACAATGAAGCGAACAGGTTGCAATGTATTACAGATGAGTGCTGTGTTTCCATCATTCTTAATGGTGCTACTGGAGTTGTGGGATATGTTGCAAGAGATGAGCCATAACAATAAGAAAGAAAACACTAAAAGGACTCCATTGCAGTGAACAAATATGCTATAAAATATACTGAGAGAGCAAAAACAAAAGCAGAAATTGGTTTATTTTGCTGCAGGAAAGCTGTCAGCCAGAGCCAAAATCCCCTTTATGACAAATTAGAGCATCCAAAGAAATGGTTTATTGTGATTACATATGCACACATGCTGGTCTAAATATTAAAACTCAGCTAACTAACTCCAGTTGTCCCTGGGTGCGACTGACCTGTGCTGTGTGTTTTCAGTGGCAGTCACTGTGATAAATGCAGGGGAATCCTCCATGGCATCAAAGTACTCAGTATCCTCATCTTCATCACTTGCCTCTTCTTTGCGCAGCCTCTCACTCCCTTCAGTCAGGACATATATATTTGTAAGTAAACAGCATTCAAAACTAGCAGAAGCATAACATGGCAGTGAGTCTGTATTTTACAGGGTTCAGGAGAGCGCAGCGTATAATCACATACCCATGGCGATTAATCAAGGAATAATCAGCTTAGTAAAATTGGCAATGTTCCTGCTGGTTAACTAACCTGAATGATGGGAGTTCCTAGGGGTGTGCTTCTAATATTCAGTGTCTAACATTTAATTTTCAGTATGTTTAGTGATTCGTTATGTGTATAAACTAGAGCTTCCAACAGAGAGGCACAAGTCCTATATCAGGTAATCAGAACACTTTCCAGTAAAAATAGATTCTATTAAAAATTAAAACTATGACCTTCAGTCATCAAACAACCACCAATATGGTCTAAATATATTGTAATTCCACAAAACTGTTGTTTTTCATTATATTTTATTTAATACTATTTAATATAGTATGGACAGGTTAACTTTCTCTTATGAACACACAGAGGGATTATGAAATGCACCACTCCACTTTTTAAATGAAAAAAGACTTATCTCTTTGGTAAACCATTACATTTGAAGGTACTGTATAGATGTCAAAAAACTATAAAGTCCAGCCAAAGTTTGACCTGTCACTTCAGTTCAACAGTCTAAATCCTTATAACATTCAGTGTCTTCCCAAGTAACAATGAGTCTAGAAGCTGAACATGAGTCTTTCCTCATGTTCAGCTTCAGTGGTTAAGGTTCAATAGGTACAGGCAACCTGGTTACTGTTATGGAAAGACTGCTGGACTCAAACATTAAGGTTTATGGTCAGCCATAGGGCGTCCCATTCTCCAGTTTTAAAAACACTTGTATGCTCCCTGTAACTTTAAGCTGTGCTATAAGAAAGTTACACTACTTCCTGTTTTGGTACTGAATGCGGTTTTAAGCTATTTGTACAAATGACTAGTGCTGTCATTTTTCTAGAGAGAACAGTCTCACACTAAAGGTAAGGTCATGGGGTCACTAAAATCAATGGGTTTCTTGTTGTGGAAGGCACGAATACGGGTATGTTTGAGACGAAGGGTCAGGAGATTTGAAAACTGTGTTAGAGTAAAGGTCATGAGGCACCAAATGTCTCCTCTTGGAGGATGGATGTACATAGCTAATTTCATTTCCAGTCTGGGCATTTGTTTTTAAGATATATTGGTTATAGGTAAACAAACAAATGGATGGACAGACTGATGGAAGAGACCACATGATCTTTGGTGAAGGTAATTACCATCTCCAACTTAACGATAATCCAATTCAAACCTTCTGACACAGCTTAAAATGTCCTTCCTCCTCATGTGAAATGTCTATAATATTGAACCTGAGGTCACACAGGAGTAAGTAAGTTAGTCTCACCCTTGTTGGTGGTAGGGGCACTAGGTGCGGTAGAAACAAGCGTGGGTGCTTCTCTCCACGCTCGCTCCAGGCTGTTATGCTGCTTGGCTAGCTGCTCAATGGTCTCCTCTAGGTGGGTACGCTGCTCTCGCTCATACTGCAGCGCCCGCTGCCATCTCCTACTGTGAGTCTCTGCTAGGTCCAAGAAGTCTCGACACGCCTGGAGGAACACAAGTACATAAACACACAGACAGCACTGAAAGTTACATTTCTATCATATACAGTCTGAAAATGTTGATTTACATGGCGAAAAAACATGCTGTTCATAATTCTTAACAAGGTTCAAGTAACTTTCCACTTGCTGACTGATGATGACTAACAGCAATAAATTATCAGTATATACATTTCCCTGACAGCTTACAATAATACTGGGATGTAAGAAAAAAGGTGTAAAGACAATGTGTCAATCATTGTAATCAAGACTATTTATCACCATTGTTTCGAGCAATCATCCATATGTTAATTAGCTGTCTGCCGAGCATTTACTGGGTCTCCCTGCTGTGTCAAATGTGCCTTGGAGCGTAAACATAGAATTCATCAGCAAGTGATGAGCTAGAGGTTAAACCTCTGATTGCATTGCAGACTATATATGAGTCATTGTTGCTGCCTTGCTTTTACTGCAGAGACAAAGAGGTTACTTCAGAGCAAACATATATTTCATGTCAGCATTTGTTGGCACTGCGTGTCTGACAGCCTTTCCTCATAGTGAGCTCAAAGGTCAAAAAAATGACACCTCACTGAAAACATGCATAATGAGAATGTCATGTGACAGTCATTGAGCTGACAGTATAGTACTGGGCCTCAGAGGAGGGTTTCTGAGTAATCATTCTGAAACTGCTTAACCACAATTGAGCAATTTTGTAGCATTTTGTGGTGGGTTGATTATTGTTCTTCCCACGTGAATGGAACAGCACATGACTACACATGGTCTTCTCAGTATTTGCAGCAAATGTCTTTTTGGTCCCAGAGCCAGAGGGGCTGTTGAGAGTCAGTTTGAACCACTTAGAAAAAGATGTGTCTGCAGGCGGAAAGCTGGAGTGAAGAAGCTCAAATAATCACTGTTCTCAGTCTGGTAAGAGTGCAGTCAGGATGTACAGTATCACTTTTAGGGCAGCAGGAAGAAAAACAAGGATGTGGTAAAACTTGACTCTATCCTTGATTTGTTTTCAGAAATCAGGATACATATCTGTCTGCTGAAAAAGTGCTTATCAGCCCCATCCCTGACGCTCACACTCACACACACACAGTCACTGAATATTTAAAGAGGTGATATTTTTAGTGAAATTTGAACGCTATTTCACATGATATGATAAAGACAAAACCAAGACCAGAAACGATACAAGCTCATAGCTAAAACTACAACTTAACGACCAGTGTGTAGGATTCAGTGGCATCTAGCAGTGAAGTTGCAGATTGCAACCATTTGAATACATTTTAGCCTTCTAAGCCATCTAACGAAACTCGCAAAAAAACGTAAAAGGCCCTATCTTAGAGCCAGTGTTTGGTTTGTCTGTTCAACGCTACTGTAAAAAAATGGGGGTTCAACATGGCGGCCTCCTTGGAAGAGGACCCGCTCCCACTGCAGATAAAAACGTCTCATTCTAAGGTAATGAAAACAGATTATTTCTGGAACATTTTTAGCCTCATAACAAAAAAAAATGAAAAGGCTTGATGTGTTTCAAGTAATACATAACTTAATATATCGCATTATTTCAAAAGACAAGATACCACACTATTATTATACATGAATGATCCAATGTGGTCAGGCTGTTCAATTAAGGTAAGGAAAAGAACTTTAATTTGTTAAGGGCAGGTAGTATAGTATTAAGTTGTTATAGACCAATGGTAATGTTATAATTTCATTATATGTTGACAGTTTTAGAATAGTATTCTATATATAATATATATTATTAGACTAAAACAATGTATTGAAATCACAAAACACCTGATAGTAAAAACATCCAATCAGTCTCTTACCTTCAGCAGTCTTGCATCAAGTGTCTAAACATCAATGTCTGAGCGTCACTTTAAATGTTATAAGTGCATGTGACGTTTATGGTCTACTTCCTCAGACATAACCATGATATGAAACTCAACACCCACTAAGAAAAGTATAATAGTTCCACTTTTTTTATGCTGAGTGTCCGGTACAAACGCAGACTGCATGTGACTTCGGCTGGGGGGAAGCCGGGGTTGATAGAGGCTAAAAAAGTGAATGGGCATGCAGAACGGGATATATAAGTAAGAGGTGGCCTTGTCAAACTAAAAGTCCTGATGCACTTTGCAGAATTTGTGACATAGCAAAGAATACAGTGGACTTGAGTAAAGTGTGATTAAACCATACAAAACAAAAATGTAAATGCATGCACACACAAACAGGCAAGAGCCTGGATTCAGTGACACATGTGAGAAGTTACATCACCACTGAATGAACGAATGCAACCCTCTCCACTGGTCCAGGTCAGATCGCAGAGAGCATGCAGTTGTGTCTTGACATTATGGCCTCCTTCTTGCCCCAACCCCTCCCCCCTCTTCTATGTATAGCCTCATTTTTTGGGAAAAACACATAAAAATCTACAGTTATTATAATATTTAGAGCAAAGTACATGTCTTAAAAGTGGCCTAAAAACATGACTGCAGAAATCCAATTACAAGACCGAAAATCACTGCAAGGAGTTTGTGGCAGCACTTTTTCTCGTTAGAAGTACATTCTTGGCAAACCTAATGGCATTTTAATGAGTTACGTAATCCAAGAGGGTCTATTTTATTGCTTGTCCAGTATGTTTCAATTTCCCATACCAATTAATAAAAACAAAATGGATGACAGAAAGAAACAAGGGGGCTCATCATTTTGATCAATGGCCTTTCCCAGAATTAAAGTGCAATCTAGATTTAACTTTTTTTCCCTCTTACCATAACACTATGGCTGAAGTTTCTTAACAAGCTGCTTTAGCACAAATGTCAGCATAGTATGAGTAATCATTTCCTACTGCCTGATTCAAACTTAATCTTAAGGTCACAATACTCTTTTTAACCACGTTTAACCACTAAATATTAATTAAATAACAGATATTTCAAAGAAAAATTAATCAGGCATGCATTATTGTAAAAAACAAACAAATAAACAACAGAAGCAGGTAGAAAGACAAACCTTGTGTGATTGTGTGGCTTTAGTCAGAGCAGGTCTGTCTGTCTGTCTAACTGAGGTCCAGAAGGCTCTGACATTCCTCACCAGGCAGGGAGGGAAGGGGGTTTGAAAGGAGGGGGGCAGGGGCTATTCCTGTCTGCCTCCCCCCAAACTCACCCACTATCTAGTATCATTCCTTCAGGACCTCAACCATTCCCTGAACTCTCGTCCACTAACATACTGTAAAGCCCATGGTATTTACCATTGAGGAAAATAGAACAGGGCCGGATACAGTAGAGTATTTCTTATTCTGATGCTGGTAATCAGATCCAACACACAGTGGTGACTGAAAACCTGTTAGTGTTTGCTGTTGTGTTAAAAGTAGGCCAAACTGCAATCTGTTAATGTGAAAGAGAGTTTTTATGTTTCATTGTTTTGGGGGAGCTTTTTCTGATCAAATGAAAACTATAGGGATAGTTTCACGTGTGTTGTATAGACTGTAAAGCCCTTTGAGGAAAAGTTGTCAGTTTGCAAATATGGGATATATAAATAAAACAGACTTTATTTGACTACAACAGCAGATATTTTGGTAATCTAGCTCAGTTAGAGACGGTAGATTTCAACAGGATCTGATAAGGTCTGGAGCTGCTTCTCTAAACCTGCAGCCTCCATGCCTGCAGCTCACTGACTCACGTTTAACATGCCACAGTGTGAAGTGATCTCATCTTTCATCTCTCACTAACCAGGGCATTATAGACGACAGCACTCCTGTCACACTTATCTCTGCTCACTACCGTAGCCTCGTCTGTCCCAGCTACTTACATTGATCATAGCATTGGAAGTGATGCGGAAGAGTGTGGCTCGCTCATTGACTGCCTTGATCTTCTCCCCTCCCTCCACAGGGACTTTCAGACCCTCGAGCTCACTCAGGGAACGCTGCAGGGCCGCCCCATGCTTGGCGATCAGGTCATTACATGTGCTGAGGTCATCAAGCTTGCTGACAAGTATCTTTAGGGTGCCCTGAATCTCGCTCCGGTCCGACTGGGATGTAGGCTCCTCGTCCCCAGAGTCATCTAGAACAGAGAGGTCAGAGGTCATATATACACCATTTTGAACAAGAGAGGATTATTGCGATTTGCGAGTACATAAGTCATAAAAGTTTAACAAAGAAGTTTTTCCCTTAACATTTCCAACTACATAGCTGCTAAATATGTACAGTTCCCAAGCTACCATGGCAAAAAAATATACAACTCCTCCATTGCTCAGTGACCTCCACTGGCAGATAACTCATTATAGAAACAAGAATAGTGTTAAATCAGCAAAGATAGGCTGCCACTGTGGCCACAAAGAGTTTTCTATGTACCTTAATTTTGGTAAGGTTAAATAATGGTTTGTATAATAGTTTGGTTAAATAATGAAATCGATTAAAAAATAATTTACACGATAAAAAGACAAATTACTTTATCACTATGACAACAAAACATTTAACAGTGATTTGCACCACTCATGAAATCAGTGTTAATTGGACAGCCGTTAGTCTGATTTTACAGATGGTTTCACATACATATCACCCATTAGATAGTGACACATTGAATGTGACTCTGCAGAGATTCTTAGAAGCTTATCAAGTGTAAATGTAAGCTCTATCAGGGCATTTCATATACAGAGCTTTTCCATACCCATGAGCATTTGCAGTAGGAGCTGGCTTTCACTAGGATGGTTACTGAAGCTTAAACAGAACATATGAGAACAGTGTTGCAGCGTCAGCCCTACACTACACACGCATGTATGAACACCCTACACGCACAATCACACACAGTTAGAGGCAAAAATATACCAAGGGTACGACCGAGGTCCATAAACAGCCTAGTGCCACTGCAAAAGGAACAACCCCCCCCCCCCCAAAAAA